TACAGTAACGATTTTCGGTTTATTTTCTTCGTACAGAGATGTACTACCATGCTGTTAAAAATTTTTGACTATTTTATTAATTTTAGGGATCAAAAAATGACTGAAAAAAATCGCACTTTTTTGGTTAGGTTTTTTACAAATAACTATTTCAATTTTTACTTTATGACATTTTTAAATAAAAAAGTTACCTCGACATTTTTTTTAAATTCGTGAAAAAAATGTTAGCAATTTCTTTCTATAAAAGTAGTTGTCATAAAGTAAAAATTGAAAATTGAACTTATTGTTAGAGCGTACTCATCATAAATAAAGACACTTTAAAGATGTCATATTGTTAATAGATAACGTATAAATATAATTATAAAACCTAGCGCCTGTTAGATACATCAGTAATATAGTTCGAAAAATATCAGTTAAGGTGAAGATTTTGCATTTTATTAATATTGAAAATAAGCACATGAACTGCCACCACTCTTCCACAACTTTCAGGAGCTCTTGAAGTCTAATACAATCATCAGTATAAAATATATCACTTTAAGTTGTCAGCAAAGTCATTTACAAACAAATTAAAAATTGGTGGCCCTAAATTATAAGCCTGAGGCACGCCTGGCGCGGATAAAAATTTGACTTAAATCATTTTGTTAGAAAACAATTAAGTGAATATTAAAGCAATGGATTTTGTTCTCGCATTTCAATTTTTTTTATGAGTCCTAAATCCATGGGAAATTTATACAAAATCCCAATTTAAATTAGAAAATTATCTCGTGACAACAAATATATATATTAATAATAAAATAGTGGCATTAACTGTAGCATCCCAAAATAATTGCGATTTTATGATGGCATATTAAAACTGGATATAGACTGAATACAATACAACAATATCGATGAATTTATGGGCGATATTGCCTTTGTGCAATAATTAATAATATAATAATTGAAATATATGCATCCCCCTATGAACTAACTGATTTTACAATGTCATTTAATACATGTAGTGTCCCACAGAGGAAAATAAATATACTAAGTATTTAAAATATTGGCTTTATGTTATCTGTTTAATTATTATTTAGTAAACAGTAGGATAAAACGGATTCAGTTTTTAAATTTTAGAATCCTAACCATGAGTTTAATAAAACTAAACATGTCTGGTAGGGATTAAATTCCCTGCATTGTAAACTTTATTGCCGCTTTAAGGACCAGGTGAAATTCAATTCGAACATTACTGGGATTACATTATACTAATTAAAAGTGATCCGATACCTGATTAAAGTTATACTGGAATCTGCAATCATCTATAATCCAATTGAAAACCATTTTGGATAAAATAGGAATCTGTTATGAACGGAATTGTAGTATATTTAAAACGGATTTGGAACCTGATCCAATGGAATTCGATTTGAATTTGATTATAATAAATGTCCCAATGGAATGGGACAGAAATTTAACTGGAGTCTAATAGAATTGAAACTTGGAATTCAGATGGAACCTTATTGGAATCCGATTGGAAGCCAGTTTGGACATATAAATCCAATTTGAATCCAATTTGGAGACAGAAATTTGACAGGGTTGCACGGAATTGGATGGGAGGTTGAAGCCTGATAACAATCCAAAGGGAATCTGATTCGAATCCTATTATTGGATTGGACGTGATTGTAATAAAAGTCCAGATGGAAACGTTGGAGATTTAATTGGAATCTAATTAAAACAGAACTGAATTCAAATGAAACCTTCGATCAGAATTCAGTTTGGTCATAATTGGAATGAAGTTGGAATTGATTTGGAGGCTGATTGGAAATTAATGAAATTAGACAAAAATAACGTCAAGACTCTGTACATGTGCAACTGCGCTCCACATCCGCTTAATAAACATAAATTAAAACCACCCCCGGTGGACGGTGGTTGTCGGAGAAGCCCGAGGCTATCGGGTCCTAAATTTCCAGATATCATAATTGCATAACCGGAATTGTAGGGATGATTCAAATCGCCCGTTGCAGACCGCAGACAGCCGAAGACTTAATAATTCGCAATGCAGCAGCAGCTGCACCCCCAAAGCGGTGGGGTGGGTAACAATGAGACCGCAACCCTGCCATACAGGAATGTCTAATTTTAATGGTAAATGAAGCGACTCTTCACAAGAATATATTCCAGTGCCGAATAAATTAAATTTAATTTGATAAAATAATTTTCTTTGTAATGTGTGGTTCATTCCGCATAGTGTTCCGATATGTTAGCTTGCGCGAACATTTGGACGAACGTTCTTTTGCTACAAATGCATACTTCTATGTTTCTTTATTGTGTAAAAAAGAGAGGACTGTGGTTGCATGGTTTGACTTCTTCAGATCTCACCCATTCTCAGTTTCTAGCTGAGACGTGTCAGTGCGTGTAATAAGCGTACAAGTGGAACAGACATTATTATTTTTATATTTTAGATATTCCAACAAGTGTTGTGAAAAATTAAATTATGTATAAATATAATTTCATTATCTTCCAAAAAAGAGAGATTAATAAAGATAAAATTGTATGTAAAATAAATGTAATATGTACATGCAATGTATATAACTGTATTCAAATTTTAGGAGTATAAACATAATTTTGAAATAAAAACTACAAAATTGGAAGGTTTGTGTCTATATTGACTATTGACTGTAAACATTTGCATTTGCTTCAATAAAGCACTAACTCAAAAAGTATCTACCTACCTGTTGGATATCTGGATCAGAGTGTAAATATTTGTATGAATAATATATTTTTACCAAAATCGACATGTCTATCTGTTGTTTTATATTTAATGGAACCTTCTAAATTGATACGCCCATGGAATCGTATTCCCTGCACGCCATGCCCGTTGCAAGTATGAACGTATTGAAAACAAGTCACTGCCAACTGTTATGCACAATTATTTCCAAATAAATCAAAGTAGATGGAAATTATGTTTAGTTACCACAACTTCCCTACCATCAGTGTTGGAAAAGAGCTTAAATATATCCCTTTCTTGCCAACTAAGGGAAAATTCCACTATTTTCATTTCTTCTATTTTTCAAACTTAGAAGAGGCTACGACAATCTGAATATTTCAGCGTCTGCATTTGTCAGGATTTGGTGTAATAAGTCCAACTGATAAAATGCGATTAAGGACTTTATTCCTTTTCTTCCAAATAAGGAGGTTATTGCTGCTCCTAATAAACATTACAGAAATGGATGAAAGAAACTTTATAATTTCTGAAGCCTTTTACTTAAACTGAGAAAAATCGCCCGGAGACAAAGAAAACGTAGCAGCAAGTAACGATGTTTTACGTTGCAAAACGCGCCAAAGACCTGTGTAATTAAATAATATCTTTTGTCTCAAGTTCTAAAAGCAATTAGTATTTTTATTTAAGCCTTAGGGTCCCTGTGTAATACTCGCTCATAATTCCATTTAGAACACTTGTTTTCACAATTATTTCTCTTACTTAAAATAAGAAATGCATATTTATCCTTTTTACAGACGCCGTGAAACATAATAGAACCATAATGTAATTTTCAAGTAAATAATATTAAAAACAACTTCAAAGTATTCATAATGGTGAAATTGGAATAATATGCTATATCCCCTCTCTGTTATGTTTGTTTAAGTCTTATTTCAGCCATAGACATAGTCTTTCCGAAGTCAGTTGAACATGTATAAAAACGCCTAGCAATAAAATTTAATGAGTTTCATGGGTGTCCCTAAAAATTTTCCGCTAAAGGTAACAAATAATAATTTGTAGCTATTTAATGTATTCATGTTCATTTGGCCAACACATATTTTAATTATTTATGTTCTCAAACAATTTTATTATATTGATTTATCTTTAATCATCTCTAAAGTTGGTACTTCATTTTCTTTATATAAATTATATTTTTTTAAATTTTTGTTTTCGCTTCCTCCTTTAAGCAATGATCTATAGCACCTTGTTTAATAATATGAAAAATTGTGGACACTGAAACTTTAGTCAATATGTGAATTCTATTTGTAATTTCATTATCTAATTTTTCATTTTCTTCCTTTCTTAAACAATCGTAAATATTTAAAATGGGACGCTGACATTGAAGATGTAAATCTTTATTTTTAAATTCTAAATCTGTCTCATCAACAATCGGTTCTACTAATTCAATATTATCTGGCGGTATTTCGTTTTGTTCCGTTTCAAAAGGTCTTCAAATGCCATGTTGTAATCATATTAATAGACAAGATATCCCTCTTATTTCTCCCTTTCGCAATTGTAATATGAATGATTAATAGAAGGTGCCTAGAATAAATTAAAATTATCCGAATCACACCAAATTCCGCATTGCTACACTGCACTGCTAGACAATTTGTCAACGCACTGTTTATGGCCCGGTACCCGGTTTCTCATTAATTTTCAGCAGTTCCCCAAGGGCCAATTATGATGCCGCTCTGGTTTGTTATTTTTATTAATGATCCAGCTGAATGTCTTGATGTTAATTACTTACTCTATGCGGGCGATCTTAAGTTGTTTTGGGAATTAAATTTATTGATATCAGTAGATTACAAGATAATCTTGACAAATTGATTAGTTTGTGTTAGTGGTGTAAACAAAATTAAAATTGTCCCACAGTCACGCAAAACTACTTTAGATTTTCAATAAGAATCTTCTTTAAATTTACTGACCGCAATTTACTGACCTTCATGTTACATTTAATGCTAAAAAATAGTTTGACGAACATATTCGTTTAATAATCAAGTCTTTTTTTAAGTTTTTTACCAGACCTGTTTCACATATGTATCCCAATCTTGTTGATAAGGTGTACCCTGTAATTGCGACTTGCTGTCCCATTGGATACTGACTGTATTTCTAAATAAATAAATTAATTAATAAATTAATAAATAAATTAATTAATTAATTAATTAATTAATTAATTAATTAAATTGTTCTTTTCATTGTTTCCAGATGAGGTCAACGCCTCCAGAGCGACCAACCGCACCTAAATGACTGAAACTACCATCCAACCGCCTTCAAGATGATACGAGATCACGATCCTGGTTCCGCTGCGTACTCCGGCTACCAGAACACCTTCCTGCGACGATCCTCGCCTCCGGGAAGCCCAGCCATAAAAAAGTGTTGCTACGAGCACGAGAGCTACGCCACCCCTAAAGAGACGTCCTTCTTTTGTTGCTGCTACAGCTGTCCGGGAACCAGATCCACCTCGATCCTAGCAACCCTGGGGGTGTGCTGTCTGGTGCTGGGGTATACCATCCTGGGCGCCTTCGTCTTCATGGCTTTAGAAGGGGGGCTGTACCAAGACACAGCCGTGGCCGCATCCAAGGCCAACCCCAAGGGACATACGGCTATTGGGGACTTGAGGGCTGAGACCGTGGATAGGCTGTGGAGCATCACAGAGAATTTAAACATCCTGTATAGAGAGAACTGGACCAGGCTGGCTGCGGAGGAGGTGCTGTTGTTTCAAGAAGCCCTGTTCAAGACCTTGAGGAAGGAGAGCGGCTATGTCAGTTCCAGTATGGGGACCATGACGTACTACCAGAATCTGCACAAGTGGAGCTTCAGTTCCAGTTTTTTGTACTCTCTAACGCTCATAACCACCATAGGTGAGTGCAGTACTATAAACATTTTAAATATTAACCAAATCTAGTTACATCGCGTTCATGTCATTGACATCAAAAGTTAAGCAACGCTAATCGGGGTTAATATTTGGATGGGGTGACCATCCAGGGAATGCTCGAGATGCTTGTCCACCTATCCCTTGGAAAGGATCTAAAACCATTGGTCCCTTGTTTAAAAAACGTTAGGCAACTAAAAGGTAAAATAAACCATAGAATTTTATTAACTGCACTTTCGATATGCGCAGAAATATAAATTTTCTTATCAAATAATACACCGAGATCATTTATTTGAGTTAAACGATTTAAAGCAACATTATCAACATTATCTGGAAACGAGGAATAATTTTTCTTTCTCGTGAAAGATAAAATGGAAAATTCATTAGTATTTAAGTTAAGATGGTTTGACTAACACCAACCACATACTGCATTATTATCCTTGTAGCAACAGGAGTCAGCAATATTACAAACACTACAGTAAATTTTTAAATCATCTTCATTGATAACTTCGTACCTACTAAATCCAGTGGAAGGTCATTTATGTATAGTAGAAATAATAAAGGATCTAAATTCGACCCTTGAGGTACTCCAGACGTAGGTAATAATAGCCTTCATATTCCACGTACTGATTTTTGTCAAAAAGATAAGATTTGGACAATGAAAATGCCTTCTGGATATCCAAATATACATCTACTAGAGGCATCTACTTGGACTCTGTCATGATATGTTTCAGATACGTATTAAGTAAAAAAAGGCCAGATTTGTAGTACATGACTTTTTCTCAACGAAACCATGCTGATCTGCAGGCAGAATTCTTTTTACAACGTTGTATATAAAACAATAAATTCTACTAATTTGGAAACATTGCGCAATATGGAAATAGGTCCTTTAGTATTGGAAAAACTGACAATTACGACGTGTTCTTGCTAAGAATTAAATTCAAAATGTAAAAGCTGTGATAAATGTCTAACATAAGGTCTGTTCAGAAAATAACCGAACTTTATTTTTTTTAACTTTATTATTAATTATTCCATTTCGCGAGGTAGTCCTGTATAACTGAATTGGAAATGGCCGAATTTGCTTTGATGTCATCAATTATCTGAAAACAACGCTCAGTACTGAGTTTAATTTCGAAAATAAGAAAAAATCACAAGGAGCCAGGTCTGGGGAATAAGGAGGGCGAAGGAGGACAGTAGTCTCATTTCTGTCACAAAACGGACGAATTGACAAAGCTGAGTGTGCGGGAGCGTTGTCGTGGTGCAAGAACCATGAGATGCTCGCCATAATCCTGGTCTCTTTTTGCGGATTATTTCAAGTAACCATTGGAAAACGCCTTGATAGTACACACAGTTCGAACGAAGACAAAAAAATATTATTAGAAACCTTAGGTGGCCAGAAAACAGTCCCGATCTCAGTCTCTTAGACATATTTTTGTGGGGACACTTCAACAAAATATATTATTAAAGACCTCAAAATTTGCGAATATTGAAAGAAAAAATACAGGACGAAATGTTTCCTAAATCTGAATTGGTTTTTAACACAATAAATAGTAAATTACAGCATATTTTCAACGGTATCATCATAATTAGTTGCATGTGGAAAATTTGTAAAAATTGGTAGGCATTTTAATGTTATTTAATTAAGCAAATTTTGATAATGTCAAAAGAAAAGTCATACAGTTTTTTTTCTATCTTTAATTACACAGCCCCACAAAAAAAAAGTGCCAGGTCCGAAAGACAAGACCATGGTATCCATATGGTTTTGGGGTCGCTGAATCCGAATCCGGTGTCCTTTGACGCGATTAGCTCTGGTTTAAGGTCAAATATAGAAAATTAATTGTCAACAAACTAAACCTATGTATCTATACGTTTTTGAGGTCGCTGAATCCGAATCCGGTGTCCGTTTGACGCGATTAGCTCTGGTTTAAGGTCAGTTCAAGGTCAAATGTAGAAAATCAATTGTCAACAAACTAAACCTACGCTTCAAACGGACATCAGATTCGGATTCAACGACCCCCAAAACGTATAGATATGTAAGCTTACTTTCTTTTCAATTGATTCTCCACATTTGACCTTCAACTGACCTCAACCCAGATCTGATTCAGTCAAACGGACATCAGATTCGGATTCGGAGACCCTAAAAACTTCTAGATATGTAGATTTACTTTGTTGGCAATTGATTCTCTACATTTGACCTTGAACTGAACTTAAACCAGATCTGATCGAGTCAAACGGACACCGAATTCCGATTCGGCGGCTCTAAAAACGTGTAGATACGTAGATTTAGTTTGTTGACAATTGATTTTCTACATTTGACCTTGAACTGATCGTAAACTAGAGCTAATCGCATCAAACGGACACCGGATTCGGATTCGGCGACCCCAAAAACGTATGGATACATAGTTCATTGATAATTGATTTTCTACATTTGACCTTGAACTGACCTTAAACCAGAGCTAATCGCGTCAAACGGACACCGGATTCGGATTCGGCGACTCCAAAATCGATACATAGGTTGAAAAATAGATACATAGTTTTAGGTTGTTGAAAATTGATTTTCTACGTTTGACCTTGAACTGATCTTAAACCAGAGCTAATCGTGTCAAACGGACACCGGATTCGGATTCAGCGACCCCAAAACCATATGGATACCATGGTCTTGTCTTTCGTCCCTGCCACTTTTTTTTGTGGGGCTGTGTTATTAAACCTATAAATAGGTATCAAAACATAAAAAAAAACCTGTACCTACATTCCGCGACGTACTAATAACCCACCTTGAATATTAAATAAATTTATCATCATCATCAAATATTGAAAAAATTATATTACACACTGTTTAAAATATCATTACGAATTTTGTTTAATTGGAAATATATTTTCTGCAGTATTTCAATACCTAAAAATGAAAATAGTAGTATTCACGAAATTATGATAAAATAACCTAAGTGTGACACCCCTGCAGAATATCATCTGAAACTACATAGGTATTAGTTGATTCTTTAAAACATTTTTATCGATACCTACATCACACATTTAAATAAATACAATACCGCAAAAAATAGGCATTGATAAAAAAGTGTACAAAATAAATCCGTAAGTACGCGTGACAACATTGCCAAACTATTATTTATATGTTGCTAGGATACGCGTAGGAATCCTAACATTTTGTTGTCCTGTGTACTCTATCAGCAATTTGGAAATTTAAAACTGCTGGCCTGTGGTTCAAGAAGTTGCCGACAAACGTCCACACGATTTCTGTTGTTCGGTTGCAGACAAAATTAATATCTAATCTCTTCTGCAATTTCTCTGACAGTCAATTGGCGAGTTTTACGCACCATATCTTTGATTTTCTAAAAGTGGAAGTCATCAGTCGAAGTCGAAATCGAAGTCGAAGGCCTTCCTGGTCGAGGATCATCTTCAGTTGACTGACGACTACTTTCAAATCGTGAAAACCATTCGTAATTGCGTACGACCCAGAGTATCATCCCCGTAAGCTTGTCTCAAAAGTTAAAACGTTTCCGTGAAAGATTTCCCCAGTTTTATCAAAATTTTACGTTGAATCGTTGTTCCAGAAAATATCTCCATTAGCGCGTAAATTAAAAAATTCGGTTAGTTTCTGAATAGACCTCGTACAGACTTTGACCAAGAACCTTGCTATTTGGCCTGGTGCTGAAAAGCGTTTTGTATAGTAGCCGTAGAAAAATGAAATTTCCTCCTGCTCATATTATGTTTGTACATACGTGCACCTGTATCTTAATTACTATTAATTTGGGGCAATAAGAACCAAGTTCTATAATCCAAAGATTAGTTTAATTTATTACATTTCGGTCTCAAAACCAGCCGGGGTCAGAATAGAATGTCGCGTCGAATGTATTCGCCCCCCATTTCCATGCAACAACGCCCGGCGCCTCCGCCACAAAGGCCGAACGGAACTAAAGCGAATTCCGAAAGGTGTCGGTTGTGTATCTCGGTACAGTTATTCGGATTCAGCTATTTGGCTTTAACCCCGATCCCCCGTAACAGTTGTATGCGTTAAATTTAGTAGTGTAATGTTAATTCTACGAGTAGTTCATCAAACAGGTGCAAAACTTCGGGATGGAGGCGGGACTTGATGCCGGATAGATTGAGTTCCGCGAAGTGGGACTATATGAGCATGTGTTAGTGTTCATTAAACTATTCATATATTTCATTTCTCGCGTTGTAATGAAGTGCCTTCCCGTATATTTTTCGAGAGAAACAGTCGAGATGCCTTTTTTCTTCCAAATTGAACAAGGAATTGAAAAATATTTTTTATGTTAAGAAAAATCAGTGGCGTATCATTTTTTTCTTTAAAAATATCCAAAGACGTGCCTCTGCGCAGACGACTGGTGAAACTAAAAACAATATTTTTATCGTAAAACATGTATTTTTGTTAACTGTCAAAGCCTGTAAAATTTCATAAAATATTTTGAGCGGTTTCCGCAATATTTATAAATCTGCATTTTTTTATTAAAACTTTAACACCCTGTAGATCGGAAACTAAGCGTTTTCGGAATATAGTATATCACAAATCACTTGTACTATAACCTCCTGCAAGGAATGCATCGACTTACCAAACACCCTGTATTTTAAACAACGGAGTAGTTTGTTGTGTAGAACATGTAGCTAATTGTCTTTTTGATATCTTGACAAACAACTGGTTAATAGAAAACTTGTTGGGAACCGCTGACTTCGCTGTGGCATTTGCGCGTAGGAAAAAGATTACATAAGCAAGCATTTTTTTTAACGATATGTCAAAGAAATACCTTTATAAAAATGTTTATAGACTCCCCTCCTCTTGTCATTCCCGTATTCACTAATAAACTATCTTTATGTATGTACTAATATTAAGCTTTTATTGAGAGATGAAGCACCGACACCGATAAGGTGCCATATTTATTTAAAATAGTGAATTAGCCACATTTGCTTGGTATTTGGCACACATGTACACCTAATGTGTGCTAAACCCTTTTATTTTAACTGTTTCTACCACCCATGAAAGCAGATAACAGGTT